TTTTTTATTATATATGATTTTAATTCTCTTTTTCTCTCTTTTTCTATTTCTATTTTGTAAAATTATATTTTATTATATAAATTTTCTGATAGGCTTTGAGTAGAGCAGAAATGGCATCTGCTAGTGGTGGAGATGGTGGTGGTGGTGGTGGAAGCAGAGGAGGACAAGGTGTTGGAAGAGGACCACGTGGTGGAAATCAGGGTGGAGGTAATTGGGGAGGCCGAGGAAGTGGTGGAGGTGGTGGAGATTGGAATAATGGTGGTAATCAAGGTGGTTATGGTGGAGGTAATCAAGGAGGTTGGGGAGGTAACGGCCCATGGGAAAACCAGAATCAAGGTAAAGGTTCGCAGAAAAAAAAATTATTTTATTACACTGTTATAAAACTTTATTTCATATTTTGTATTAGATGTTAAAACTTGTATGTAAGTTGAATTCAAGTTATATAATTATGAACAAAAAGTTTTGAACTATAAGGCAAAGCAATAATTAAATGATGTTATTTCTAATTTAGAATTTACTTTTTAAGGTGGAGGATGGGGTGGTCAAGGTGGTCAAGGTGGTTACAACAGTGGTGGAAATTGGAGTAATGATAATTTTGGAGGAGGATATCAACAAGGCTATGGTGGTGGACCAGTGCGAAATAATTTCAACTCTGGAGGCAGACCAGCACCCTACGGTATTAATATGGGTCCTAGTGGCCGACAGTCTGGAGACTCGAGATGGCTACCGCCCTTTGGTGGACAAGGTTGCTTCCCTCCTTCTCAAACGCCAACGCGTCTGCCACGCATCTTGAGTAACTGAGCGCTCTTGATATCTCAGATTTAGTATAATCATCTCATAATGTAAAATTTGTATACACATATCTGTTATACAGATTATGTATTTGATATGATAATAAGACTTAAGTTACACAAGTTGCGTCGGCATAAACATCGAAATTTATGATTGATTTTAATTACAAATAATTTTATATCGTACTATTAAGAATCCACTTCTCTTGTACTGGATTGTGTGGATATAATTTTATAAACATTGGATAGCATGGTGGGACTTATGCTAACTATATTGCCAAATAAGTACTAACATTTGTTAAACATTTCTGTTTATATATCTCCAGTTTGTCAAAATTTACTAGTTTGATCATATTAATATATTTAATAGAAAAGACATTAGGCGCGATGTTGCAGTGAGAAGGAGCGCCTTTGTCCACTCTCTCTCTGCTATCCTAGGATATTCATTTAATCAATACTCCCAAAGTACGAGTATTGATTTTCTAAAGAAAAGATAAAAAAAAAAGAAAAAGAAAAAACAGTAGCTTTTTCCAGAAACATTCACCTTGACTAAAATTAACAATCCATAATGATTATATAATTACAAAAACATTTGAAACTTTTTGGATCACGTTTGTTAGTTCTATTCTATATATTGTATAATTTTACTAATATTTTTATTTTATTATGTTTACAGGTCCTATGGGTGGAGGTAATTCGGGAGGTGGTGGAGGTTATGGAAATCAAGGAGGCTATGGTGGCAATTCTCTTGGCGGTGGAAATATGGGTGGCGGCGGAGGCGGAGGCGGTGGTAGAAGATACTAAAATTTCTGTCACACAACTAGCTCTCTCATTCATTCTCCCTCACATGGTAAGCATAATTATTCATTTTGGTAACCTTTTTTCTTAAATCGTTTTATTTTTTCTTTTCTGAAAACTGTTACCTGTAGTGCAGGTAAACTCCTTGCTTCTTCTGAATAAACCATATCCATATCGATGTGTACTTCATCTCTATTTAGATATATTTAAGGTGTCTTATATTTCGTTTAATCATTAAAAATATTTAGAAAATTTTGAAATATCTTTGATTGAAATAAAATGAAACAAAGTGCAGTATGTAGAAATTATCAGAAGGGTTAACGGTCATGCACAAATGTAATATATTGATATTATTATGAATATGTAGGATGTAAGGTATTGAAAGGCACGATGGAAGACAGTTTATCAGATTTAAGTAGCATATAGTTTCCATTTTAATATTTTAATTTAGGACAAGTCGATTAACTAGAGCAGGTATTCAGTAAAAATATTTATTTTAGTTGTCAAATTTAATTTCACTTTAATTCAAAAATTCATGAAGCTGTATTTAATAAAATTAATCAGAACAATTATTTAATTAAATTTCGTTGCTACTATTTAAATTTAATAAGAAATTTATAAAATTGGCTATCTCCATGCAAAATATATGTACTACTATATAAATCCACTTCTTTCAGAAAATACATTGGATATATGAACTTTTAATTTCATGCTTCTATTTTATTGTTTTCTATATTTTTATTTTATATCATTTCTTTTTTTATAATTATTGTATAATATAAGTTGTCTCTTCTTAATTCCCATTATTTATTTTCGTGCAGTGTATAGATATTTGGTTGCATTTTTTAAGTATGTACTTTTTCTGTTATGATCATGAAGTTTCAATGCATATAAATTAAAAGAAGTGTTTTGTTCCCTTTCACATAACACTTTAGCGCAAAACTTATAGACCTTTACAATTTCTGGGACTTTTCAGTCATTGCAACTAACAGATTTATGACTTTTAAACCTCAGGTGAACCTACTACTTGTCTTCTAGTCGCCAGTACTTCTGTACTGTTTAGTAGTGGAGCAGGCAGGGCTATAAGGCTAGAGACAAGACCAGGCAGGACAATCAGGATACAGGACAGAGAAGCATCATCTGTTAGCTCGCAGTGAGGGAGGCTTATGCCTGTATTTGTTTCGGTATCTAGCACCTACCACATCCCCTACACATTCAACTCATCATGTGAAATTATTGCATCATATTTCTTAGGCAGTGTCAGCACATGTTGACTGGCACATATAATACTTATTAGAAGAGGCAATGATTATTTGTTTAATCACAATTACCACCCATAAAAGACTCGTGTATTGGAATAGTTAAGAACTGAATCTTTTTCTGATTGACGGTATATTTATACCATGCAACCTGATAATTGCATATTACTTTGTTACATTCATTTCTACGGTGTATTAGATAATGATTGTGTAGGACAACATTGTGGATATTGAAAAGCTCAACTGACCCTCGTAACGAAAAAAATAGTTTATTAACAAATTATAGGTTTTACTATTTTGATCGTACGTTTTGGGTAAAAAAAAAAAAATGCAATTTTTATTATTTAGGTAGAAATTCTTAATGCAAGAGAAAATATACGAAAGAATATCGATAAAGTTTAAATAGCAGTTAAAGTAGGCAATTAAGAAAAAGCATAGCGTCAGTCAGCATTTCATAGGTTACTTAGATTAACCAATTATTGATTAAGTTGTAATGTTTTAAGAGCTAGCTAATAAAACTGACCAGAACCTTTTCCACGTCACTCTTTAATTTATGAAACAACGAAAAATCGATCAGCAGCATAGGTTAAGTCAGAGGTACAAAAATTATAGCTGTGAGGATTGCAGAGAACAGGGAAGTATAGAAAAATGAAGACAGATAGTATACCGACGGAAAGATTTAAATATCATGTATGATAGAAAAGATTGTTGTACTTTTGTCAACTGCGTAGAAAATGAAGGCACCAATGAGTGTTTTATATTTATGTGTAAAGACAGTATTAAATAATTTGTATATACGAAAAAACCTATTATCAATTTTGTTTAATTTTAATAATGCGTAATTAAGATTCATATGGATTTATAGCTGAAGGGATACGTTATACTTTTGTTCGTGAAAGTAGTTATTATGACGTGACTAATACAGAATTATGATATATTGAAAAAATAATATGTAGAATTTATATTGATATTAAAAAAATGGTAGGAAAAATATTTTTATAGTTTCATATAGGTTGACAATTTAGATAATTCTTTCATTTTTAAGACAATATGCCCTTATTTTGATTAAAATAGGAATTTTATTCCATATTTCCATACTTACCAGAAAAGAAATAGTAAGAAGTGGTTAGTATTATATCATATTAATTATGTATATTACTCTTATCCAAATTGAAAACCTATTTTTATAAATTGAGGATATTCAGGAGATATAATATAGATTTTATTTCAATATTTTCCGTATCCCTCTCAAGTAAATCCACAATCAAGATTGAGAATTAAAATCAGTGTTGTACCAAATAAATATAATCAATATACATGATGCTTTTATACACAGAAATTTAGGTTAATAATATATATATATATATATCATTAGTTATTTCACAATTTAGAAAATAATACCCAATAATTATTATCCAAACCTTTTTTTTTTTTTAACTAATATATCATCTGTTTTATTTTATATTTTTAAGTATCATTGAGATAGAAAATTATTCCAAAATTATTAATTGATTAGTCTTTCATGTAGTCTAATTATATATTCAAGTATTAGATAAACGTTTATTATAGTCGTAGATTATCCCAATAATTTAATTAACTGTGCAACACTGATTATGATATTAGTATGTGTGTTATAGTGTAGTTCAGTGTTAAAAATGCAGCTTATTAAAAGTTTTGTACTTTAATTTGGAATCAATGCTAAAGTTTAGCAATGTCTACTAGTCTATAAATTTATTTACCTGCCTTACAGTCACTTTTATAGTGATCAGGTTTTGCTGTCATGTATCATTATTAATGGTAAGTGGAATGTGACTGTTAGGTAAAGTTGTACTATACAGGAAAACTGTGTTGTCAGATTTGATAGGTAGTGTGTCGTATAGTATCCACATAAAATTCATGAAAGTAAAGAGTAGTAAACATAGCTAGACTTTTTTGATGAATCTTTAGTGTGGCTGATTAGAAGCATGAATACAATGAAGAAACTAAAAAACAGGCAGGTAGCTGAACTAAAGGATTCTGACCTCTGCAGCAGACTAGACCTTGCTAGGATATTTGCTAGCCTCTGTAGTGCAACCACAGGTAGGAATTCAAGAATCATCTGTTTAGATATATATATATATATATATATATATATATATATATACATACATACATATATATATATATATACATAGGGAATTGAAAGGTAAATTGTGTATGCATGATATTTATAATGTTTAGTGGTACTCTAATCGAAAATTCATTTGTTTTTCTTTTTCTTTTGTGGAAATAGAAATTATGGTTGTTTTGTGGATACAGTTAGGATTGATATTAAAGAATATTATTTCTATTCACTGCACATGATAATGTTTTTCTTTATTTTCAAGCAATGAACTTTTAAGTATTAATCGGTTGTAATACAAATTGTAAAAAAAATGATAGCTAGTTTTCTAAAGACACAAATGCTATTCTTATTACCCTTATTAACGTGTACTGCAAATAAATTAATTATTGACTCTAAAAATTTTTATAATTTTAAGTTTTCGAACATGTTCAATAGCATTTCATAACAGGATATTTTATCCTATATAAGAAATATATTTATGTTAAATTAAGTATAAAAGAAAATCATTTTAAGTTAAAAAATGTACGAGATCGTGTATATGCACTCGCATTATTTAAATATCGATGAAGTAAAATAAACGTGATAAGTACTTTATTTTTATCATGTTCGCAAAGTCTATTTAGTGGTTTTTTTTAAATTGCTTATCTATATATTTAAAAAAAAAACTTAAATTTTCGTGCTTAATATTACATTAAGTTGGATAACACATTGATAAAATAGATAAAAATGATCATGAAGATTTTGCGGACAATATAAAGTACCATAAACTGATTATATTTATTATGCATATTTATATTTGTCTCCTTTCAGGGTATTCAACATGACAGGCATGGCCTTTTTTCTTTTTCTTCTCTTTTGTCCTTTTTTTTTTACATATTCACTATATTTCTCTTGTTAATAATTAACATGTCACTCATTTATATGCGAGGTTTTAATAAAATACCTTTCATAAAAATTTTTTTGACATGCAGAGTATTTACTACAATATTTGAAAGGTGTTTTACGAATATCCTCATACTATTGCATTAATATTTTTATATATTGTGTAAGTTTAACTTGAAAGTAAGTTTTGCAACCACGCAAATGCTAAATTTATAGCTCGATGCTGTATTATGTTCGCACAATAACAAATTTTTGTTTCATTTTATCTAAATACTTTGATGTCATACAGTTTGAAGATCTCAATAACTCTGAAGATTAATTCAATTAATTGAAAAACAAATGAAAGGTTTACAATTTATTCTTTTTCTTTTTTTTACATTATACACTACTTATATTAATCTCTTAATCACTATCGCAAGTAGAATTGTAGTAAGTTTGTTTAATCAAAGTAATTACGATTAATACACAATGAAAAATACATCAAAGAAAAAAAAATAAATTGGTATAATATGTTCAGTACTGTGATATATCGGTGTATGTATAGAAAAGTATGAAAGAAAGTAATTTTCATCTTATCTTCGCTACTTTATTTTGCTTTCCTTGTATTAATTGCTGTCTTTCGTTTTCATTAATTTCTGGTTTACCATTGGACTGGTACTCCAAGACCGCATCGTGCCTCTTTCCGCTACTCCCCAGAGTCAACCGTCGTTGGAGGTAAGTTAAAGTAAGTTGTAATTAATTATTAATCAATTAATTAGTTAATTTTAAGCAATATAGATAATAACATTTTCCAAGTTGCGCGAAAGTTTAATCTGTTTTATGGTACTAGTTTTTAATACTTATACAGATTGTACATATTGAAATAACAATTAAATATATAAACTATTTTTCTAATTTATATATATATATTTTTGATGAAAATATTTCGTAGTTAAATTTTGACATACGTAATTTAATTAGATTTTTTTTCTTTATCTATAACTCCATAAAGCAGATTTTTTTTACTAACATTTATTCTTAATCTTGACTATTTAATATTTATCATGCATTAATTTAATGCAATAAATCTCGTATAAAAAAAAAAAATTATACGTGTCTCTTTCATGAGATTAAATAAAGTTTCTTTCAGTCTCCTTTGTGTGTTTATTTATCGAAACCTGAAGACATTATAATCTGTAAGTTATGCCTTGTACACGATAAAAAATAATAAAAATTTTCTAAAACAATGAAATCGGTGGTTTATACACAGACAATGTCGACAAAAATATATAGTACTTTCAGTACAGGCATAGACATACGACAAAAATGTATTCTGATCCTATCTTTAATCCTTCAGAATTGTCTACATCTAAACGATTATTTTTATCAAATATTATTATCTTATGGTTTGATAGAAAATTGGTTTTATAATAAATAATGAATTTATTGAAATTTTTTATACATTCTCTTTTGTCATTAATTTTTCTAAACAAATCGAAATTCTTTGTAACTTTTTGGATAACGAATGACAATTGGATTACAAAATAGAAATAATTTCTATAATAAAGAAATGTGTGTTCGTTTGTAGATATAAAAGATACATATACTTTTATTTTACGATTGTAAACAAAAAATTAGCCATGACTCACGCACACGCACGCATACCAACTTAAAAATATATATACAACAATAAATATATTATAAATAAATCGATAATTGGTGATATATTTAATAAAAAAAAATGGTAAAGAAAAAAAGAATTTTCTATAATTAACTTAACAACGAAGTATTTTCTTTCGAGGGTCGTATTCTTTGGTTCGAAGAATGATTGAATTTATCGATTAATATACGTTCCTCGGACATTATACATATTACAAATATTTCATACACGATAATACAATTGATATAGTTATACACGCGATCGATTATTAACCATTGTTAAATGGAATATCGACGAGAATATAATAGAGAAATCTGAATAAACGTTTTATCAGTGTGAGATTTACTATCTCGTGCATAAATTGTCCTCGATTATAGCAATACTGTATATTAGACCTTTCTATACTAAACGAAGATCGATCTTTTATTTAAATCGGTGATGTGACGGTAGACGGATTATCAGACATTTCGCTTCCACTACTGCTGCTGCATTGGGGTTGGTCTATCGAAGAACTTATGGCAGTAACGTGTGTGGATACACACGAGTGTGCAGCGGACGATCCAAAAGCGTCTTTATAAAGACACAGTCTGCAGAAATTACCGCTTCCATAAATGGGCAAGTTTACGAAGCCGCTGGAAACGGCGAAGTTTCTGAAAGAAAATTCAAAATAAAACTAAATATAGCCTTTTAAATTTAATTTAGTTTAATTTAGTTTAGTTTAATTTAGTTTTCACCGATTTAACTTAAACGATGAATCGCGTGTAAAGTTTGCTTTCGTGCTCTTTACGATTACACATTATTCTTAATAGAGGAGATATGATCTTTATATTAAAGAGGTATTTATTTTATTGTTTTATTTTATTTTATTTTATTTTATTTTTCTTTTTATATATATATGTATATACATTCCTTTTTTTATCAAAGCAAAAACGATTCCGTTGAAATCTATCGAACCTTCCATTTATTTCAAATACACGTGAAACGTATACTGAAATAGAGAATCCAAATGAAAACCTTATTTTTAGAAAGAGAGATAAGAGGGATTCTCGTGGAAGTGAATCCTTCAATGAAAATACAGAGGAAAGCTTGGAATAGAGCCGTGATGTGGCCATGGGAAAGATAAGATGCGCGAAATTCAATAACAATAGCGAGAGCATGTCGGCCCTTCAAAGCATATGGTACTTCCCGCAGCGGCGGCAGCTTCCACAGTGGTTCGCTACGGTGCATCCAGCTAAATCATTATCTTGTCAGGGTTGATGTATTGCTCCTACGATATGGTCATTACCACGGTCATTAGCACAGCTGCGGCGAAGCGCCGGACAAGATATTTAAACCGTACGATTCTTCTCGATATTAGTATTTTACATTTTACATCCTACTCGCAAGTTTTTCCTTTTGTTGTTATTCTTATTGTTATTAATTAATTGTGTAAGAATTTTAATCAAATTTCTATTAGAACTTTTCCTTTTTCACGTATCTTATATTATTGTGAAATATATAAAATGCTATTATATATTCTATTGATCTAAAAGAAATGATAAATCAATATTTGTATATTTTTCTATCAAATCACTTTCTCAATTCTTATAAAAAATATTCAATTTGTTTGTTTAATATTTAAACAAATTGAGATATTGATATTTCCATGTAAAATGATGTCAGGAGCTAATAGAAAATATACAAAAGAAAAATCTTTTTCTCTCTCTTTCTTGAAAAGATGGAAAGGATTATTTCTGTATCGAAATTTGATGAAAATATTACTCATTAAACGAATCAGTATTTTTCTTCTATTCTTTGATAATACGATAAAAAAAAAAAAAAAAAAAAAAAAGAAAGAAAAAGAAAAGAAAAAAAATCTTCACAAGGAGTAAAATACAAAAACTTCTTTCTGGGCTATTCTCTTAAAGACTTGAAGAAACGTTTTTCGGCACGCGAGCGTGTAATCTCCCCCTTCTCGAAACAGTCTATTTAGTGGTATATTCTATCGTATCAGGAATCAGTCCTGTGATTCGTAGCTTCGAATCACAGTCAACCGGTCCCCTCTCGGCCTTCAATGAGGAGATTCTCTCTTTCTTTCTCTCTCTCTCTCTCTCTCTCTCTCTCTCTCTCTCTCTCTCTCTCTCTCTCTCTCTCTCTCTCTCTCTCTCTCTCTCTCTCTCTCTCTCTCTCTCTCTCTCTCTTTCTCTCTCTCTCTGTCCCGGGTATTATTCAGCCAATATGCACCTGATGCCATTAAAGTACTCGATGATGGTTCTTCTCGATAAGCCGAAGATAAACGCCTGGATAAACGCGTACGTACGGTTTATATACCAATAGATTTTCCGATTCACTTGGCTTGGCGATTCGTTCGTTCATTCGTTCATACGTTCGTTCGTTCATTCGTTCGTTTGTCGAGAAAGCCATCCGTTAGTTCCCACGTACCTTTGGCTATGACGAAGAAAAGGTAAAAGGACTCAAGTTATCCTAACTTTCGTTAGTCCTTGTCGAGGGATAAAAGATAGATATCCTTATACGAGGAATCAACAGGAAGCTTTACAATCGAAGGAATTTTTCGAGTGACAAACGCGATCTCCAAGCTCGACAATAAAAGTGAATTATAGAGACAGGATCATCTAACGATATACAAAGTAATCATATTTTTTCTCTTTACTAATCATATTATAACCTGCATTATTTTATATCGTTATTGCATTCTAAATTGTTCTGCAATGTGTTCATCAACAAAACATTTAATTTATATGTACGCTCGGAAATATATATTTATGTAAATCTTTATCTAATGTAAATATTAAATCAAATACAAGATTATAAAATATTAAACTATAATCTCATAATGCTCACCGATATTGCTGATCCAATTGAGCTTTCTCGATTCTCTTGTCTTTGGCTCGACGATTTTGAAACCATATCTTAATCTGTGTTTCCGTCAATCTCAAAGACGCAGCCAGTTCAAACCTTCGACCTCTCGATATGTATTCGCCCCTTCGATATTCAATTTCCAAGCGCAATGTTTGTTCTCCGCTGAATGTTGTCCTTTGCCTTCTTGGTCGGCCTTCCTTTCTTCTACGACGTGCGACTGTATATTGCGTAAAAAATTCATAAGACAAATTTATTTACTTAAACAAAATGATAAGAGAAAAAAGTATTTTGGCATAAAAAAAAAAGTATTCGTATTTGTTTTTCAAAGTCTGTTATTTTGTTTTTAAAACATCGATCATTTTTATTTAAATTAATTTGATCAATCTTTTACACACGTTTAATTATTTCCATTTGCAATAATTTTTTACTTACTATTTCAAGGCATATTAAGAATATCATATTAAATAATTCATTCTATATGCTATACAATATTAAATGCATATATATGTATATATATATATATATTATTCATACGTTATTTATTAATGGTGTAATGATTGGAAGCAAAAAATAAATATCAAATAGATTCGAGATTTATTGTCGAAGGTACACGTTCTATCCGGACACGATTATTAATGGTATAATGATTAAAAGTAAAAAATAAATATCAAATAGATTCAAGATTTATCGTCGAAGGTACACGTTCTATCCGGACACGATGGTAATCCGATGCCATAACCGCAATCCATATTGTAGGATAATTAGGATGTGAGGGATAAATGATACCGGAAGTCAGATGCACGAGGCTTCGTACAATCTGGTTCAGGATGGAAATTGGATCCTAATTGCTCCTTGAACCCTACTCAACGGATCGCGTAGATGTTCACACTTTAGAGAAAGGAGTGCTTACGAAGCGTTATCGTAAAACTCGTCTATCTTGAAATATCGAACGAAATCTTTTTTTTTTTTTCAGAATTTGTAGTTTACAAAATTTAATAATTTAATATTATATACTATGTATTAATGAATGAATGAATGAATTAATTTATATATAAATGATCTTTATCGTATGTGTTAGTTTTGAAAAGAACGAATTAATAATGTTTCTGATATACATATGTTTGTAATTAATGGAAAACTTAAATTTACTATTATTTTATACGTTTAATATATATATATATATATATATATATATATATATATATATATATACGTTAAAACAGTATCATATATTTATATTTTATATCTCGTCGTAAATGTTCTTTACGGAGGAATAAATTTCATCTTTTATATGTACGTCGACTAAAACGCGTTACATTATACCGGTAGGTTTACATTAATGAATATTACAGGAGAAACTGGAAGGAGCGAGACCAAACGAAACGGATTTGACAATAACGATAACAACTTATCGCGCCTCGATGAGTTCATTGTCATATGATTTATCTCTCCCTTTCTCTTCTCCTTCCCTCCTTCTCTTAGTCTCTCTCTCTCTCTCCCTCTTTCTTTCTCTCTCTCTCTCTCTCTCTCTCTCTCTCTCTCTCTCTCTCTATCTATCTATCTATCTTTTGCTTTTTACTTTTACCTCTAAAACTCGCGTCAGAATAAAAGCGCGGTGATGACGGATATTATGTATTTTGAGATCACATTTCTCGAATGTTAAATTTAAAAGAAGTGAAAAGTTATAAGTATAGTCAGATAACTTCTAATGATTTTCTTATACACATAACTATGTATACATATATTTGTATGTGTATGCATATATATATGTATATATAAATTAATGACGTTCAAGAAATTGCACATAATAATATAATAAAAAAAAAATACTTTAAGCGAGGAAAATAAAAAAAAGAAAATGAATAAATATAAAAAAAAAGTAGTGTAATAAAAATGTATCCATTATTTTGGTGATAATGATAACATTTCATTAATGGAACAGGAAAATAATAATAATTTGATAAAATATTATTCGATAATATATTTGATTTGTTCCGAGTGACCAGGGATCTTTCCTGGCGCCTGTCGTGACAACGGCTTAAGGCCAGAGGAGTGGAGTTGGTTTGAGGAAATATAGCAATGCATATTCTACATTGAGATTCGGCCAACTGCGTTTCGTAATCTCATCACAATATCGCCACGAGGTGGCGAAGCGGGATAAACCCTCCCCAATGTGTGCACGTATACGTGTGTATTTATTGTAACAACGACTCACAATGACGAAATCTCAGGCGAACAGTGAAATTTTTAAATCCATTTTCTTCCACCCACTCTCTTTCTCTCTCTCTCTCTCTCTTCTTTTTATCTCTATTTCGTTTTCTGCATATCTGTTAAATTTGTTACTAATTTTCGTTTTAAATCTTTTCGTGGTATTTCTACGTTAAGAGGTTTGCCATATAAAACGACGGACATAATTATCGTTTAAGAATGATCTGATACGGATTTACGAAAAAAAAATAAAAAAATAAAAACATTCTTAATTTATTTATCAAAAAGATAATATAAAATTTGTTATCTAACATATCCAAAACTTTATTATTATCATAGATTTATCTATGATATAAATGTATTCTTTACTACCCCTTCCCAAATTCATCGAGAATTTATCCGATTTATATAGAGTTCTCGATCTCTCTTCTGATTTTATTATAGAAGCATTCACAACGCGATGTACGAGAATATGCAGGTTTTGTTAGCAAGTGAATACGACGTGCACTTCCAAAGGTCCGAGGATTCGAAGTTTCCACGGTAAGCCGGGGACAGCCGTCTTTGCCGTAACAGGAATATACATACGCGTTTTGAATAAACGCATGTCCTATCGGCATAAGCAGATTTGACGAAGTCGTGCTATGATGAAGACACGCACGTCCGTTCTTCCTTCAGCAACTACCATTCGAGTAAAGTATCTTTGATAAAGACTCTTGTACCATAGTCCATACGGCTATCATTTCGATTCGTCTTTGACATTTATCGAATCTCGTTTCGTATTTCTTCGTTACAATTACTTTCTCTTGAACTCGTTATAATCGTAATATAAGATGATATAAATAATAGTTTTATATGTTATTCAAATATATGCGTATTAGTTAACTTCAATTGTTATGTGAAATTTTCTATTTTTACATTTGATGAAATAAAAAATTTTTACTTTTTGAATTTTCGATTTTTCCTTTTATTTCTCTTAAGAGAAATCTTTTAATATTTATATATTTTACGTTTATTATATAAATGTAGATTTATATATATATTTCTTATTTTAAAATAAAAATATGCAATACCTACGTAAAAATGAATAGATAAATAAATATGCGACTATTGAAATATACCGTAAGATTTAGAATAATTTTATAAATTTATTCATGACGTGATATTTTAAAAGTGTGTGTTGACATCGAAGGTATAAAACAAAACAAAAAAAATACTTACGGAAGGCAGAGAATCCTTGCAAATGATGATCCGTTGCCGGATGATTTGTTAAGCCATGAAGATGCGGAGGAAGTACGGAAGGATGTGCGAGTTGCGTCAGGTGCAGTGTGTGATTAGGGGTACCGGGAAAAAATGTGTGAGATAAAAAGGGTATTCCTAAGGTCGGTAGCCGAGAATCCTTTTCAGATATTTTTGCATCCTCTTTAGATATTCTCAATCTCTCAGGATCTTGGGTTTTATTATCTTCTCTCGCAATCGTTTCCGTTATATTATTCGCCTGGCATACACAAGATTTAGACACAAACTAATTCTGATTCATCTTTTGTATAAATAAATATATAACAATGATATTTTATAATTACTTAATAAATTATAATATTTTTTATTATATTTAAATCATCAAAAATCCTATCGTAAATCGAGCTATTTTACGAATTTAATATATAGGATATTCCATATAACTAGAACAACTTTTATCTACGTGAAAATATTACATTTAACGAAAAAAATCTAAGACATGTTGTGTCATCGAAAGAGGATCTCATATAGCTATGTCCATTTTTTCTATTGCTTCTTATGATTTTCAACATTTAACGATGTTCTTTAATTTTTTAAACAGAACACAATTTTTTAAAGTAAAATTTAACATTAACAAATATATCTAAATGGTTTCAATTACCACTCTATATATTCTGAACGAAAAAAAAATTTTTTCAACAAAAGAAATAATAAAACACTTACTTGTGTAATATCATCATGAGGAGAGGAACGCAAAGTTTCCGAATCAGAATTCGCGGTTTTTTCGCAGACGTTCACTCTTGTTGAAGATTCCAAATTTGTCCTTGATTTCGATTCCTCCACTTCCTCATTCACTTTCTTCGTCGATTCCAAATGACCATAGATACGAGCGAAGAACCGTCGAGGAGATGACGGTCTTCCTGTTTTCGTCGACATTTAATTCACTACGATAACGACGGGTTTTTCCTTAAGAATTTCAAAGATATTTGAAGAGATCCAAGAATTGACAGCATGAAAGAATGGTAGTAATAAAAAAAGGGACTATATTAAATCAACTCTATATAATATATATCTTTCTATTTATCTATCAAATTTTCTGTTGCCTTTAAAAAGATCTGTTTTTTCTTTTTCTATCTTTTCATAAAAGTGGCACGCTTTATCATCCCTTTACACCACGAATCCATTATTCTCTCAACACTTCATAGATTTCATCACCATAAGCGAATCCTTTCCCATATAAAAAAAAGATTTCAAACATATTATATCAACGAGGATCTATTTTCTTTCTCTCTTTCTCTCTCTCTCTCTCTCTCTCTTTTTCTCTGCCTGCACCATTTAAAATAACATCCCCCTTAATGTTTAATCGCAGAAAATATAATAAAAAAGAATTATGCCGAAATCGATATCTCAAGTATGTCAAACTTGAAAAACGGCGCGATTTCAAAAAACGAAAAACTTGTAAGAAGGTGGTCCGGTACGAGGTAACGCGCGCATCTGAATCACCTTGGTTGCACGTCCATTCTCTCACCTCGTGGTGCGTATCTCGACAGTAGAAGGGACTGTTCGTTGGTAACATTACTCTCCCTACTCCACTATGCGATTCCCCACCATCGATACTCCAGCCCCCATCCACTCTCAGCCTCCTTCTAATCCCCGTTGTCGTTCCTTGCACCGCCCCTTCTCACGAAACGCTCCCGTATAGGTACACTTTCTCCCTCTTGTATTAATGCTCGTCGCACGATCCATAGTATAAGGTTTCAACTTGAAGCGATCACGTTCAAGAAAATTGTTCCTCGCGTTAATTATCAATCATTCGTTTTAATACAAATTTAACTTTCATTCGATTTTTATCTATCAAAGAAGTTTACGATTACTCTGATCGCTAATATCATTCATATAAATTGCTAGATTATTTATTCGTGCGTATTATTTATATCAGTAAGTGAATTGTTTAAACTACGAAGTAACTTTTTTAAAATTTGAAAATTTATATAAAATATTTTATTTTTTCTGTCTATTTATAATTCATCGTTCTTAAAAGTATTCGTTTTGTTAACATGGGATAATAAACAATGGCAAGATATAATGTAATATTCCATAAAGAAATAAGCCATTCGTATTGTTATCATCTATATCAATATTAAATCTTTTTCAATTAGATCTCTCTTATTTTTTAAAACTTATCTTACCCTCGGTACTTCGTCATCATTAGACGTTCTCGAAGGGTGGCCTTTTATTCGTGAGAAGAAAATTGAAAAATTCTTCTCAACGTTTCACCGACGATAAAAGGGTGCTTGATTTGTAATTTCTTAGCGTCTTCGAAGGATCTTTTATTTAGATGCAGCTTGGTAATATCTTGCGTATTCACGGTCAACTGCACAATGAACAATTCATCGGCCGGCATTCTTTTCTCGTTCATTGATCGAGGGGATTCGCAGTTTCTTATTAACGATACTGTATCCTTTCATTCGTAGTTCTTTTATTTTTTTTCCTTGCAAACAGACGGTTTTTATACAAAAGCTGTATATATTATACGTTCATCACGGAATCGCCAATATTTCGCAAGATGATATATTGACTTATGAAAATCGTACGATTTTTACGTTATTGTCTCGTTAGAAACAGAAAAGAAAAGAAAAAGAAAAGAAAAGAGTCTCTGTGATCCAAAAAATGATACATAGAAAGGTGTTTACTACTGTTCTCTTCGTTTAATTAATAGTAACTTTAATTTAATTTAATTACAATAATAGTTCACTTAAAATTAATCAAAACTATTTTGAATATCGGTAAAAAAAAAAGAGAAAAAAAAAGAAAAAAGAAAAAAAATTTATTCTATTATATAAACATATATACGGAGAAAGAAACTTGTTCTTGATTTTAACATTGACTATTCTATTCTAATGCGTATAATTGAAAAATTACGATTACGATAAAGAGAGATACTATTAAATTTTTATTGGATAAATATAATTATAAATGATTCATATTTGATCATTAGTAATAATATCAATGATAAACGGAAAAAGGAATGCTATTTTCCTTAATAAGTATCGCTTTCTCTAAAACGATATCAACTTAAAACAGTGCAGAGAACGATATTAATTGTGACGTCGGTGGATGTAATCGATATGGGAGAGTAATAATCGTAATACAATAACAATGGAATATGAACAAAAGGTATCAGAGATCGTTGAGACGATATATATACTGTTCTTGGTTGTTACGATGTGCGCATGTCATTCGTTCAACGAATCCCTATTGGTTCTTTCCTAATTACATTGATTTCCGACGTATTTCCGATTGGTCCATGAATGAGCTACCATAACGTCGCACTGGCGACGGGTTAACCAGTGCAGATAATTTCTCGCATAAAGGTGAAACAATCCAATCCAATTTATATCGAATACATACGGAATATTTTTCCCTCTCTCTCTCTCTCTCTCTCTCTATCTCTATTCCTTTCTCTCTTTCTCTCTTCCTTTTCCTCTCTCTCTCTCTCTTTCTCTCGTCATCTCTCTCTCTCTCTCTTGCGTTTATTTTGTTAAACCACAGCGTTGATGTTCTTCCGTATTGAATCATTTTCGATTTACCGAGCGTAAAACGTTGCTAGATCAAAGAAATAACATCGATCTTTGTTTACTTCGAAATATCGATGACTCTCTTGTAACAGCATTGCTTTTATCGTATAATTGCACTATTCAAAAAGAACGATCAGCGATGTGTTCTTGAACGTTAAGAAGAAAAAAAAGAACAGTCGATCTAAACACGCGTTGAATATCTCGAGAATCATAGAAAAACAGCTCGGATTTTTTGACTTCTTGCGTAAAAGACTTACTAGCGGTCTTCTTGTAAAAATTCGTGCCATGTTTCGTATGTATAATTAATTATATCATTTTCAAAGTGTATACATTGAAAAATCGTATGTCATTGTTAATCACAATATGACTCGATTGCAAGAAACACGAAGTTCACCCTGTGAGAATATCTTTAAAGATATTTCAAAGACTCAAAGAAGCAAGTTGTCAAAAATTTATCCAAAAAGTACTGGGAATTTAGAAACACCACAAGACTCGCATTCTCGAGAGTATCGTAAGTCTATTTTAATACGATTTTTATAACCTATTCAATCGAACGATATTTATTCGTTTTATATTTAACGAATATAGATCGATCTCTCGATAATGAATACGTGGAAGATCTTAACGAAGCATCTAATCTGATCAATCAGGATTCTGAAATACCAAAAGAACGATGGATCGCTTTGGCTTTATTTGGTATACTAAGTTGCAGTCAGTGTTGCATATGGAATACATGGGGTCCTATAACAATATCCACGATGATAGCGTTTACAACTTGGCAAAAATATCACGTAGCTCTTTTATCCGATTGGGGCTGTATAACGTATATCACTTTTTGTTTTCCTTGTTGTTGGTTTTTGTATAGAAAAGGTGAAAATTTATTTGCATTCATAATAATGTTTAGAAATTAGAAATATTAAATTTATATAATTTGTTAAGATTAATTATACTATAATATTAGGTTTGGTAGCACCTATAAGAATGGCAGCGATCCTTTCAGCGTTAGCAGCCTTTGTCAGATGTTTCTCTTGCGACGAAACGATCTTCACTATGTAGGTACGCCGAGAAATCTAATAAAATGACTTTTATAAATATACAACTAACAGGATGCAATATGTTATATGATGAATGTGGATATATCGTGTTATATCTATTCAGAACGGCACATACCGCGGCCATCTTAAATGGTCTGTCCGGGGTAATCATTGGTCCAGCTACAGCCCTGGTGTCTGCTGTTTGGTTCCCACGTGGAGAACGCACCACCGCAACCGGTGATAATCTCTTTAATATAATTAATATCATAGTTCGCCCGTTGTTCTCCCTCGAAACGGTAAAACGAGAGATGGAATCTAATTTCAAGCGAAACGACGGCCTTCCATATTTCAGTTAACTGAAGAGAAAGTCATTATATATATATATATATATATAATGAATTTTACATTTTCATGGGTCTCATAGCTGGATAACAATCAATAGCCTATGTCTCATTCAGTCAATAGCTAATGTCTCATTCGACGTAATATATAAAATAATTATCTACGATTAAAATATTATACAATTTTTCAGGTATATCTTCCGCTTGTAATCAATTTGGCATGGCCGTATCTTATTTGATAGGGCCAGCTGTTGTGGATACAAAAATTCCGACTAATAATACAATATTAAATAAGAAAACATATAGAAACTTGAGAATGTACTCTCGTAAGGAACGTTATTATTTTCGTTCACCGAGACGAACAACGTTCGATACAAGATCATCTTCGAATAATAATCATATACAAACGATTCTTCGTGTACAAATTATGTCGTTAATGAGAATCGGTAATAAATTTTTATCCATTATTATTAATGTTTCTAAATAATATAATATCAATTGTTGTTTTTTATTATTTTCAGAATTTGTAATTCAATCTCTCGTCGTAGTCGGAATCCTATCATTTTTTCCAAACCATCCTAACTCTTTTGTTGATTCCGTAGATATGTCTTCTCGTTTAAGTCTGATAGATTCGATCTTACTTCTTCTCAAGTAATTAAGTATTTATATTTCCTTTTTTAATTCATATGACGTTATTATTGTTATTGTTATATTTTTGTTTTTTATTATATAAAAAAATTTTATTGGCGAAGTTCGATTTAGTAAACCTCCGTACATACGTCAAATCATTATTTGTATTATAAACGTGATTGCGATTGTTTGTCGCAATGAAAGAAGTTAATTAATTTTATCAAATAAATTGTACAATTGATTGCAAATTTAAAAGATATGCTCTTATACTTATATATTGATATACCGTTTCAAGTCCCTTTGGCGCAGAGGATAGCGCGTTGGACTTCTAATCCAAAGGTCGTGGGTTCGATCCCCACAAGGGATGGTTCTTTTTTTTTTTATCTATTGGAAAGAACTATTTTCTTTTGTTCTTTTATAACGTTACTTTTAATTATTGTTTAATACAAATGATGGAATTTAAATAACAATAATATTTTTTATTTTTTTTACATAAGAAAGAAGAATATGTGGCAATTATGTTTAGCAGCTGCGTTTAGTCAAGGTGTGACCGGACCGTGGCTCAGTATGATCACTATAACATTCGATTCAATGGTTACACAAGTAAATTCAGTCATTCCTTCGTAACTTTTCATATGTATATAACAAAATTGACTATAATGTTATAACAATATTTGTTATAACATAACTGACTATAATGTTATAATAGATACATATGTGTGTTATATCTGAATACGCAGGAGGAAGCAGATAAACTTGCTTTTTGGACTATCATTTCTGGCAGCGTTATTAGCTTGGTGGCTTCTCGAGTGGCCGATATTTTTCAAGGTCATCTCAGGATCGGTCTTTATATATTGCTAATGATATCCGTTATAATGTTTCTCTGGATTTTATTGCTTGAAAATCGAATCTTAATATTTCGTAAGGAAGAACTTTACGCTGCTGTAATACTCGGGATGTCGGCCAGTTGGTCCACCCCCGCCTTGTTTCTTGAACTTGCTTCTGAAATTGCATTTCCTGTTTCGGAAGCCATCGTAGGCGGATATATGATATTCTTGGCAAATTTGATAGGAACTGTATTTTATTTTTCTTATTTTATACCTGGAATCGGTAAGCGATATATAATGATATTGAATGTCGATAAAGAAGTTCACAAGGTATAGAAAAAATATATGTATTCCTTTATCTTCATTACAGGTGATCGATGTTCAACATATTGTGTTTTTGGAAGTTTATTAACCGCAACAATTCTCGTAATTTATGTAAAAGAAGAATATAATCGTACGAAATCAGAGTAAGTATATTAAAGGACAATATTATTTTTGAATATATATATATATATATATATATATATATATATTCAAACATAAAGATCAAACATTATGTAATAATATAATATTAAATATTATTAATTTTTATTATATAATAGGCTTAGCAAAACCTACAGAAGTGAGAGTAATAACCAAGAAAAAAGAAAGATTAGAAAAAATAGTAAAGAAAAAAGAAATACTATACGTTCTTGAAGAGTGATTGTGATATATATTAGTTACGTGATACATTATCAAATTTTATATTAAAATATATCATTTTTTGATTTAACTAGATGGCAGTATGATTCAATGCTATAAATTCGGTCGGTAACAATCCTTGAATCAAGTATCGTTAATTCTTGTGTTCAAAGGATATCTAGTCGCCGAATTAATTTTAAATTTAAGTTTTAAGATTCGAAGAAAAGATCGCCTTTAAATCCAAATCTTATCGTCAGAGTATGTATTTCACATTCTTTCTTAAAGGATTATAATTCAACGAAAAATTTTTTAAAAATAAAAGCCAATAACGTTTTAGGTTATTTTTTAAAAGTATATTAATTTGTGATTTAAAAAATAAACTACTATACTATATGCATAATAACATTTAAATTTTACTCTATTTTTTATTTGTACGAATGTTTAGCAACAAAAATATTTTGACAAGTATTTATGAAATGATTTAACAAAAATAACGGAGAAATATTTATTTAATAATATTTTATAAATTATATCCATCGATTAACTTTGACAATTAACAAGTTAGTTTACATTTGCACTTCGACCAGTGCACATCGATTTGCTCTCTTTTAAACGTGAAAACTCCTAAATTAATACTATCGATAATTTTTCAATTATTTAAACAATACTTAAAATACATGTAGTACAATAAACTAATATTTAAACAATTGTAGATTCATTTAAACACTATAAAGAAACAAACAAGCGAGAAACTAAAAATAATTTTAAAATAAAATTCCAATCCTTAAAAGTTTTAAACTGGCGGTGGTTGGCCTTGTGCAATATAAACATAAACGGTCCTGCGATTAACTTTGACGATTCGTGAGTTAGTTTATCTTTGCACTTCGTCCAGTGTACATCGACTTGTTCTCTTCTAAACGCTAAAGCTTATAAATTATTAATTTCGGTTATTTTATAATTATTTCAACGCTTTTTATTACACGCGGGATAGAATAGAGTAATATTTGAACAATAGTACATTTATTTAAACATTAAAAAGTCTGAATCGCGCTCGGAACTTAAAATAATTTTAATATAATTTTCTTTTACTTTAAATTTTTAAATTCGGAGTAGTTGGCTCGTGTAATATAAACATAAACGAACTTTTTCACGACTTTGACAGTCCGCGAGTTAGTTTTCTCTCGGTCTTCAACCTGTACACATCGCGATTCTCTTTTCCAAACGCTAAAGCTTATAAATTAATATTTTCGGTAATTTTATAATTATTTAAATGATATTTTTTGCAGGTGGGATAGAAAAGAGTAATATGTATACAATAGTACATTTATTTAAACATTAAAATACTGAATCGCGCTCGGGACTTAAAATAATTATAATATAATTTTCCTTTACTTTAAATTTTTAAATTCGGAGTAGTTGGCTCGTGTAATATAAACATAAACGAACTTTTTCACGACTTTGACAGTCCGCGAGTTAGTTTTCTTTCGGTCTTCGACCTGAACACATCGCGATTCTCTTTTCTAAACGCTAAAGCTTATAAATTAATAGTTTCGGTAATTTTATAATTATTTCAACGCTTTTTATTACACGCGGGATAGAATAGAGTAATATTTAAACATCAGTACATTTATTTAAACATTAAAAAGTCTGAATCGCGCTCGGGACTTAAAATAATTTTAATATAATTTTCTTTTACTTTAAATTTTTAAATTCGGAGTAGTTGCCTCGTGTAACATAAACATAAACGCACTTTTTCACGACTTTGACAGTCCGCGAGTTAGTTTTCTTTCGGTCTTCGACCTGTACACATCGCGATTCTCTTTTCTAAACACTATAGCTTATAAATTAATAGTTTCGGTAATTTTATAATTATTTCAACGCTTTTTATTACACGCGGGATAGAATAGAGTAATATTTAAACATCAGTACATTTATTTAAACATTAAAAAGTCTGAATCGCGCTCGGGACTTAAAATAATTTTAATATAATTTTCTTTTACTTTAAATTTTTAAATTCGGAGTAGTTGCCTCGTGTAACATAAACATAAACGCACTTTTTCACGACTTTGACAGTCCGCGAGTTAGTTTTCTTTCGGTCTTCGACCTGTACACATCGCGATTCTCTTTTCTAAACACTAAAGCTTATAAATTAATAGTTTCGGTAATTTTATAATTATTTCAACGCTTTTTATTACACGCGGGATAGAATAGAGTAATATTTAAACATCAGTACATTTATTTAAACATTAAAAAGTCTGAATCGCGCTCGGGACTTAAAATAATTTTAATATAATTTTCTTTTACTTTAAATTTTTAAATTCGGAGTAGTTGCCTCGTGTAACATAAACATAAACGCACTTTTTCACGACTTTGACAGTCCGCGAGTTAGTTTTCTTTCGGTCTTCGACCTGTACACATCGCGATTCTCTTTTCTAAACACTATAGCTTATAAATTAATAGTTTCGGTAATTTTATAATTATTTCAACGCTTTTTATTACACGCGGGATAGAATAGAGTAATATTTAAACATCAGTACATTTATTTAAACATTAAAAAGTCTGAATCGCGCTCGGGACTTAAAATAATTTTAATATAATTTTCTTTTACTTTCAATTTTTAAATTCGGAGTAGTTGCCTCGTGTAACATAAACATAAACGCACTTTTTCACGACTTTGACAGTCCGCGAGTTAGTTTTCTTTCGGTCTTCGACCTGTACACATCGCGATTCTCTTTTCTAAACACTAAAGCTTATAAATTAATAGTTTCGGTAATTTTATAATTATTTCAACGCTTTTTATTACACGCGGGATAGAATAGAGTAATATTTAAACATCAGTACATTTATTTAAACATTAAAAAGTCTGAATCGCGCTCGGGACTTAAAATAATTTTAATATAATTTTCTTTTACTTTAAATTTTTAAATTCGGAGTAGTTGCCTCGTGTAACATAAACATAAACGCACTTTTTCACGACTTTGACAGTCCGCGAGTTAGTTTTCTTTCGGTCTTCGACCTGTACACATCGCGATTCTCTTTTCTAAACACTAAAGCTTATAAATTAATAGTTTCGGTAATTTTATAATTATTTCAACGCTTTTTATTACACGCGGGATAGAATAGAGTAATATTTAAACATCAGTACATTTATTTAAACATTAAAAAGTCTGAATCGCGCTCGGGACTTAAAATAATTTTAATATAATTTTCTTTTACTTTAAATTTTTAAATTCGGAGTAGTTGCCTCGTGTAACATAAACATAAACGCACTTTTTCACGACTTTGACAGTCCGCGAGTTAGTTTTCTTTCGGTCTTCGACCTGTACACATCGCGATTCTCTTTTCTAAACACTATAGCTTATAAATTAATAGTTTCGGTAATTTTATAATTATTTCAACGCTTTTTATTACACGCGGGATAGAATAGAGTAATATTTAAACATCAGTACATTTATTTAAACATTAAAAAGTCTGAATCGCGCTCGGGACTTAAAATAATTTTAATATAATTTTCTTTTACTTTCAATTTTTAAATTCGGAGTAGTTGCCTCGTGTAACATAAACATAAACGCACTTTTTCACGACTTTGACAGTCCGCGAGTTAGTTTTCTTTCGGTCTTCGACCTGTACACATCGCGATTCTCTTTTCTAAACACTAAAGCTTATAAATTAATAGTTTCGGTAATTTTATAATTATTTCAACGCTTTTTATTACACGCGGGATAGAATAGAGTAATATTTAAACATCAGTACATTTATTTAAACATTAAAAAGTCTGAATCGCGCTCGGGACTTAAAATAATTTTAATATAATTTTCTTTTACTTTAAATTTTTAAATTCGGAGTAGTTGCCTCGTGTAACATAAACATAAACGAACTTTTTCACGACTTTGACAGTCCGCGAGTTAGTTTTCTCTCGGTCTTCAACCTGTACACATCGCGATTCTCTTTTCCAAACGCTAAAGCTTATAAATTAATATTTTCGGTAATTTTATAATTATTTAAATGATATTTTTTGCAGGTGGGATAGAAAAGAGTAATATGTATACAATAGTACATTTATTTAAACATTAAAATACTGAATCGCGCTCGGGACTTAAAATAATTTTAATATAATTTTCTTTTACTTTAAATTTTTAAATTCGGAGTAGTTGCCTCGTGTAATATAAACATAAACGCACTTTTTCACGACTTTGACAGTTCGCGAGTTAGTTTTCTTTCGGTCTTCGTCCTGTGCACATCGCGATTCTCTTTTCTAAACGCTAAAGCTTATAAATTAATAGTTTCGGTAATTTTATAATTATTTCAACGCTTTTTATTACACGCGGGATAGAATAGAGTAATATTTAAACAACAGTACATTTATTTAAACATTAAAAAGTCTGAATCGCGCTCGGGACTTAAAATAATTTTAATATAATTTTCTTTTACTTTAAATTTTTAAATTCGGAGTAGTTGCCTCGTGTAACATAAACATAAACGCACTTTTTCACGACTTTGACAGTCCGCGAGTTAGTTTTCTTTCGGTCTTCGACCTGTACACATCGCGATTCTCTTTTCTAAACGCTAAAGCTTATAAATTAATATTTTCGATAATATTAAAATTATTTAAATGATTTTTATTGCACGCGGGATAGAATAGAGTAATATTTAAACAATAATACATTTATTTAAACATTAAAAAGTCTGAATCGCGCTCGGGACTTAAAATAATTTTAATATAATTTTCTTTTACTTTAAATTTTTAAATTCGGAGTAGTTGCCTCGTGTAATATAAACATAAACGCACT